ATATAAAATGTTTTTTTCTGATATTTTATGTTATACTGAAATAAATTATGTATAATTTAGAGGCAAATATTGTTTTCAAAAATACACTGAAAATATATACACACGTTTGTGTGGGTAGCTACTATTTTAATTGCCATCAAAGCTTGCTAATTATTCATCAAGAGAAACAGGAGTTTAGAGTTTAAACAACATGAAGGTAAGTTACAATTACAGAATGATTATTTTTGGGTGAACTATTACTTTAAGAACAGTGGAAGTGTGCATGTAAACGGGTGAAAAAATGTACGGCTCATATATAACCTCGAAATTAATAGAAATATTTAAAATAGTAGCTTTAGTTTACATAAATAAAATGAACCACTAAACACAAATATATTACAAAATGTATTGGGGAATTTTGGGGAAGCAAATGCATAAGAAAATTGTATAAATATTTCAAATATAAACATATATGCCAATAATCTATATTGCATAATACATATATATATGCCATTCATCTATATTGCAATAAAGCGTTATGTTTACATGTCTGGTTCAGCATGAAATAAACTCATCTATTGTATTTGACATCACAGTTCAGGACAGTCACAGCTGAATCATGCTCAATCAGAGCAGGAACATGTATTAAGAAAATAAGCCTATATTGATTTGACATTGATCTTAAATCAGCAAGTTCAATCAGAGCGGTGTGTTTGCCGCTGAGGTCGGGAATGGGAGAAAAAGGCCTTATGCACGAGTGGCTTTTTTATTTCTTTCTCAAGCTCTTTATAACATATTCTTCATGCTTTCTGGCTAGTTTGCTTAAAAACAACAAAATATCAACACAAGCTATCATATCTCAACATTAATAATCTCCATCTTTATTCTGATGTGAAAGGCTTTGATAACATATCTGTGAAAATGAACTTTTCAGATCAATTGCTGTGTTTGAGATTACGGTTTAGTTAGTTGAGCCAGATGACTCAACTTTTAAACAAAAAATCTAAAACTAGTATTTGATCATGTCTAAATACAGGGAGAAACAGGAGTTTAGAGTTTAAACAACATGAAGGTAAGTTACAATTACAGAATGATTATTTTTGGGTGAACTATTACTTTAAGAACAGTAGACGTGTGCATGTAAATGGGTGAAAATATGTACGGCTCATATATAACCTCGAAATTAATAGAAATATTTAAAATAGTAGCTTTATTTTACATAAATAAAATGAACCACTAAACACAAATATATTACAAAATGTATTGGGGAATTTTGGGGAAGCAAATGCAAAAGAAAATTGTATAAATATTTCAAATATAAACATATATATGCCAATAATCTATATTGGCATAATACATATATGCCATTCATCTATATTGCAATAAAGCGTTATGTTTACATGTCTGGTTCAGCATGAAATAAACTCATCTATTGTATTTGACATCACAGTTCAGGACAGTCACAGCTGAATCACGCTCAATCAGAGCAGGAACATGTATTAAGAAAATAAGCCTATATTGATTTGACATTGATCTTAAATCAGCAAGTTCAATCAGAGCGGTGTGTTTGCCGCTGAGGTCGGGAATGGGAGAAAAAGGCTTCCTGAAACGTCTGGCAGAATGAACACAACTATGTTTGACAGGCCTGTAATGAAAGCAACAGCTGTGGTGGTGTATGTGGTGGTGTGTGTGTGTGTGTGTGGGCAGACTACACAATGGCAGTGAAAACTCAGCCTATTCCTGACCACTGGCTCCATGTCAAACACGGGGAAAAGACGCAAGCGATGCTCTCGTACGTCTCTGCTAACAGAACAGACAGCTGTACTCCTGTCAAACCAACAGCATTCACACAGATACAGGTGTAAATGTACAACGTTTAAAAATCCCTCATTAGCCTTCAATTGTGTAGACAGTAGAGGTGCGCAATATTGACAAAAAATTATATTTTCTGTGACAATATTTTGCTGACTGTTTTTGTGCTGTACTTTGGCTGGTTTAGGCCTGTCTTGGATAAATAAATACGACACTAAAACCACCACGGCAGGTCATTGATTCATTGAATCATTCATTTAAACGATTCATTCAAAACGGCCGATTCATTTAGAAACGAAGCAAGTGACTGTTTTTATGAATGGATCACTGAATCACTGACTCAAATGATTTGTTCAAAAACAGATTCTTTCAGGATCGAAAGTTCAAAACACAAATGAGACGCTTTGCTTGAAACTATTTTTGTTGGCGAAACAAAAAAAACTGACAATATTGTGTATTTTATATATATATATATTTTTTTTTTACCGCCTGTCATGTATCCAGTCAATTTTTTGCCATATTACCATTTTCACTTCACATTAGGGCCGTAAAATGGTTCTGAACAGCGTTTCGTGTTGATTTGATCTCTTATTTACAGCTGTTTAAAATCTTCTACAAGAGCAAACCCTATCCAGCATTACCATAACAACCTCACCTTAGCAATTGCCTAGCAACCACCTAGAACACCTTAGCAACCATTTAGAACACTTTAGCAACTGCCTAGCAACCACCAAGAACACCTTAGCAACTGACTAGTAACCATTTAGAATAAATACTTAAGCAATCACTTAGAACACATTAGCAACTGCCTAGCAACCACCAAGAACACCTTAGCAACTGACTAGTAACCATTTAGAATAAATACTTAAGCAATCACTTAGAACACATTAGCAACTGCCTAGCAACCACTTAGAACAACTTAGCAACCATTTAGAACACTTTAGCAATCGGCTAGAAACCACTTGGCATGCCTTAGCGACTTTCTAGTAACCATATAGAACTACCTAAGCACCATTTAGAACTCTTTAGCAACTGCCTAGCAACCACATAGAATACGTTAGCGACTGCCTAGTAACCACTTAGAACTCATCAACCACCTAGAACACCTTTCTTAGAACTCATCAACCACCTAGAACACCTTTGCAACTGCCTAGCAACCACTTAGAACAACTTAGCAACCATTTAGAACACTTTAGTGACTGCCTAGCAACCACTTGGCATGCCTTAGCGACTTTCTAGTAACCATATAGAACTGCCTAAGCACCATTTAGAACTCTTTAGCAACTGCCTAGCAACCACATAGAATACGTTAGCGACTGCCTAGTAACCTCTTAGAACAACTTAGCAACCATTTAGAACACTTTAGTGACTGCCTATAAGCACCATTTAGAACTCTTTAGCAACTGCCTAGCAACCACATAGAATACGTTAGCGACTGCCTAGTAACCACTTAGAACTCATCAACCACCTAGAACACCTTTGCAACTGCCTAGCAACCACTTAGAACAACTTAGCAACCATTTAGAACACTTTAGTGACTGCCTAGCAACCACTTAGAACAACTTAGCAACCATTTAGAACACTTTAGTGACTGCCTAGCAACCACTTAGAACTCGTCAACCACCTTGAACACCTTAGCAACTGCCTAGCAACCATCTTGAACTCCTTAGCAATGGTCTAGCAACTATTTAGAACAACAAACAACTACATTGTCGTTTCTAATAATTTGAAGACTTTTTCATTCCGTACGTTTGGTAGATGCTTCATCTAAAGCGACATGTTTCATATTTTATTAGTAAAACACTCATTTCAGGCAAGTAAAGATTCAAAGTTCCTCTTGTACTTTCTGAACTATTTCCATGACTTCAGTAGAGAACCGAGCGATACTCGACTCAAAGCACTCACAAATTGTATTTTAGTTAACAGGGACATTGCACATTAATTAATCATTTCTGATCCATAAGAATAAACATTTTAGAGCTGAGCAAAACTACATTTACATTGACACTTGGCACACTTCAACAATCACTTAGAACACATTAGCAACTGCCTAGCAACCACTTAGAACAACTTAGCAACCATTTAGAACACTTTAGCAATCGGCTAGAAACCACTTGGCATGCCTTAGCGACTTTCTAGTAACCATATAGAACTACCTAAGCACCATTTAGAACTCTTTAGCAACTGCCTAGCAACCACATAGAATACGTTAGCGACTGCCTAGTAACCACTTAGAACTCATCAACCACCTAGAACACCTTTGCAACTGCCTAGCAACCACTTAGAACAACTTAGCAACCATTTAGAACACTTTAGTGACTGCCTAGCAACCACTTAGAACTCGTCAACCACCTTGAACACCTTAGCAACTGCCTAGCAACCATCTTGAACTCCTTAGCAATGGTCTAGCAACTATTTAGAACAACAAACAACTACATTGTCGTTTCTAATAATTTGAAGACTTTTTCATTCCGTACGTTTGGTAGATGCTTCATCTAAAGCGACATGTTTCATATTTTATTAGTAAAACACTCATTTCAGGCTTCAATTATCAGGCAAGTAAAGATTCAAAGTTCCTCTTGTACTTTCTGAACTATTTCCATGACTTCAGTAGAGAACCGAGCGATACTCGACTCAAAGCACTCACAAATTGTATTTTAGTTAACAGGGACATTGCACATTAATGAATCATTTCTGATCCATAAGAATAAACATTTTAGAGCTGAGCAAAACTACATTTACATTGACACTTGGCACACTTCAATCCAGAGCAATTCCCAGAGCTTATATTCTAACAGTAGCCTTTGTGCTGGAATCAAACATGACCTCGATCAGCTGAACTACTAGGGGGAAAAAAAGCAGATCAGAGAAAATGTGTCATATATTAGGCCTACCACCCAAAAGTATGGACACATGCACTCATTCTTCACTTTTCCACGTTTGCATGACGAAAACATCAATAGGATGTAGTGTCACAAATGAAAACTCATATTTCAGCTGCTTTGTCACTCCCGACATTCATCTACCAACTTCATGAGCTGGTTTCAAAGCTGAAGGAGGAACATGAGCGCTCATCATTGCATTTTGTGAAGTAATTCATGTCTGCATGCGTCTACAAACACATTTGTCTTCAGATCACAGGTTTTTAAGATCATGAGAACATCTGCAAAACTTCTGACCTAAAAGCAGGTGTCACTGGGGCGTTTTACCTTCTTTTTACCCTTGCAGTGGCAGCACACCATCCACAGGTACTTAAGGGTCCTCCACAACAGGATGATGAAGAGACCCCCGAAGAAAGTGACCATGGAGGAGGCGAGGAAAGCCCACCACATCCTCTGGCCTCTGGGGTCACAGGGTACATCACTGGTGTAGGGGATGATCACATCCATGTTCCGAACCGAGGACGGAGCCGCTAGTTGATAGGTCATTATTGTGGAGAGCAGCTTCTCATCACCATCATCATCTTCTGCTTCTTCAATGGGGAGCATCGAGCGTCTTTCTGGAGATCCCGGCAGCGCCCCGCACCCGACGACGATCAGCCATGTTTGGCAGGGCGTAGAGCCCGGCGTGTGTGCACTCTCCTCCCGCTGCGCTCTGCGCTCTCGGCCGCTGCTCGGTTCTCCGCGCAACCGGTGACGCGCGGTACTCAGAACGCACGCAAACACTTACTGGAAAGGCGTCGTCGCGTCTTTAAACGAGCTCGTACTCTGGGTATGTGCCACGATGGAAAACATGCCCGCCTGACCCCCGGCGCGGATCTTCCGTGCGCTCTCTGTCGTTCACTAACGTGTTGCGTTCAGCTGCGTTCTCCGCGGCGCGTCCAGGGCAGATGCACAGGTGCCGGAGGGCGGAGTCAGTCAGTCTGATGCCCGTCAGAACGTCTCCAAACCCCGCCGACAGCCAAAACATCCATCAATCGCGTTTATCTGACACAAATCTGTCGTGGTAACTACAGCTCGGAGAAAAAAATGTCATCATTTTTCATTGGGTTGTGAATTATGTTAGGTGGACTTAAAATAGGATCAAATATTTAAAACGTTTTGAAGCACGTTTTCAAGTTGCATGGCAACAGTTCGGTGCTTTTAGCCAGTTATAAAATAAAAATTGAACTTGATGTTATTTTTGAGTTTTTAGTTTAAAATGTTGCTGTTACAAAATGTCTTTATATACATTTCTTAATGTCTGTATATAAATATATATATATATTACTGCTGCTATTTCTACAGATGTTTTTTATTAATTTATGGTGCTGACAATTAAAAATCAACTTCAAAATTCACTCACTAGTCCTTGATGAGTTCACATTCTGAGATGTAAAAATAAATCACACTTCCTAGACTTTTGTTGATGTGTATGATAACACAGTAAAACCATCATTCACACTCTGGTATTTTCGAGGACACTGTGGTTACCATAGTAAATGTCTGAAAGGCTCATTACATTTATGGCCATGTTTTTAAACCTCATCGTGGACACGAATGGCTCAATTATTGTGCACCACCAGATGTACATGCATCGTATTTTTCTTAACATGTAGCCTAAATGCTTTATATTCCAGATTTGATGTGCATGTCACTGAAAGGCCTTTCCATCTGAATCCAAGCACTCCAGACTTCTAGGGACATTTACAAATTACATAAATACATCTGCACAAGGATGCAAAGTTACAGAAGCTTACTAAGTGGAAAACTATATATTTTTTTCTATGGCTTCAAATAAGTTTATTTTTAACCTAAATGTGCATCACTGACATTTTTGCAAGAGAAATAAAAGCTGCTCTAAACCACATTTGGGATCAACATGAGCTTGTTTTTCCTTTTTTATGATAACAAATATTCTTCCGTTTGCCATATGATATTTTCCGCTGAATAACAGCTCATCAAGTAATAATATTTCACCTGATGTTTACATAATCCTGGTTATGGGGATGAGGCTGAAGGAGGAAATGACGCCATCTGGTGACTCCTCACAGGAACTGCATCATCATATTTTCCACACGAGCTCTAGGACACACCACACATTACATTAAATGAGGTTTATAGAAATGTATAGAATTTTTGAGACTTGTACTTTCCTTATTGCTCCAAGGTTTCCATTAATTCACCATAAACTGCAAACATACAGACTCAATACATGCAGATGGAAAAAAGACAATTATTCTGCTGAAAGTATAAATGTTTAGACAGTACAACGCTAAGTCATGTTTAATTTTATTACATTTATTAATGTAACAATTACAAAATCATATTTTTGTGTTTAATGTGACAGTACCAGGGTGTTATATTATTATAAAACATAATGGAAAACAGAATTTTAATTGGAACTGTGTTTTTTTTCCAGCTACAAACGGAGCATCTGCACCAATTCAACATCAGCGTCATTATTGGCAGGAGTGGAAGAACATTACGTGACTTGAGAGAGTTTCAATCTTTGTTGATGAAGCTAAACCAGACAACTCCTTTCATTGGTCAACATACAGTAGGCCAGAACAGGAAGTGATGTCACAGTGAACATCCTTCTGTAAAGTAAGCCGAAAGACTAGTGTAGTACCAAAGCTTTCACTAGAGAGGATTAACTAACTATTCCTGAACGAGGATTACTCATTCTCCCGTCTGGGATTAATAAAGCAGATCTATCTTTCCATCCAAATGAGTGCAAAATACAGGCAAAGCGGAAGGAAGCATTTGGCACGTTTGTTTCTGAAAACAAGAGGAGCTTTTAAGATGTAGTAATAAGAACGAATAAGCATTCAGCTCTGCCTAAGACTCGACTACAAAAGACATTTAAATTAGAGTTAAAAATTAAACAGACAGAGCATATAGGAAAATTATCATGCAGCAGATTATTGCATCGTTCATTTAAATAATAACAAGTACACTTAAAAGACAATGAGATCAGGAAACTGCTACATTAAAGCTTAAAGGAATAGTTCACTCAAAAATGAAAAATGTTTGCATGTCTTTTCAAACCCGAAGATTGCAGAAAATTCACTCTGCTCTTTTCTATGCAATGACAGCGAATCAAAAATGCACTTTATTCTCATTCATGACAACTCTGAGTGAGAAAAAACCCTCAAAATGACATTATCTTATGGTGCTTTTTGAAGCATGGCAACCTGTCGGCGTTCATTGTGTGGAAAAGAGCAGCTCAAACGTTCTGCTAAACATCTGCTTTTGTGCTCCACAGAATACAGGCTTGAATAAATGATGACAGAAGTTTCATTTCGGGGTGAAGGAACCCTTAAACACGAAAACAAACTTAACAGTCAGTATTTTTAACCTCAGAAAACCGTAAATTGAGCGTCTGTGTCGAACTAGCATGCACCGATCGGATCAGACCCACACGGGGACAGACACATGAAGCTAAACATTCAAGTAAGCTGGTTCTTAAACATCACCTCTGTAAACACGAAGAACTACATGAAAGCCCTCATAAATTAGTGTTACCACAGAGAAAACACAGGAGGATATTGCTGCTCGCGCACGTCACATGCGACTGTCTAACAGTTGTGATCATTGCCTGAGAGTTTTGTGTTCAGGGCTGGGCGATATCACTAAAGAAAAACAGCAATATTTACATTAAATTATATTTATAAGCAACAAAGAGACATTTCCGAGCGATGATGCAAACAATCATTGAATCAGCGTTTCATTGACTCAATCATGAAGCTTAACCAAATAAAAGCATATTAAACAATTAGGAAATTCATAGCTGCTCATTAAGCACTTAATATTTCATGAATATCTGATATAGCGTCCAGCCCTAGTGGTGTCGTAGTGAGTTTAACAGCAGAGGAGTGTTGCAACAGTGTGAGATTGGTAGCGATGTGTTATTACACTGAAAAACAATGATTTTCTTACTCAGTATTTTTGTCTTGTATGAATATCTTAACCTTCTTAAAGGAATAGTTGCGATGTGATTGCATCAGTGTCTCAGCAATGGATGCTCTGCAGTGAATGGGTGCCGTCAGAATGAGAGTCCAAACAGCTGATAAAAACATCACAATAATCCACAGCACTCCAGTCCATCAGTTAACATCTGGAGAAGACAAAAGCTGAAACAAAGACTCTCATTCTGACGGCACCCATTCACTGCAGAGCATCCATTGCTGAGACACTGATGCAATGCTACATTTCTACAGACCTGATGAAGAAACAAACTCATCCTGATCTGGGATGACCTGAGGGTGAGCACATCTTCAGCAAATTCATTTTTTAATGAACTATTGTTTTTAAAAAAAATTGTTCACAAATTGATTATTTTTCTTATCCCACTGAAAGAATTTTGAATTCTTCAGAAAACAAGACTTAATACCTTAAGTCTGTTTCCTTAAACGTAATTTAAGAATCTTTAGATATCATGAAAAATGACAAAAAATACTAAGTAAGAAAATCATTTTCAGCAGTGTGTTTTGAAGGATGTGTGTGGTTCTTCACATGCTTCCATCAGGAATCCAAAGCACTTTGTTCTGCTCCTGGTCCACGATGGCCATGATCTGAGTGCATATGTTGGACAGACCGCCGGCCTGGACGACGCCTGCAACAGAACAGCATCACAAATCACTCACAAGCACGCCGTCGTGTGCGTAATCGTGTAAACGCATGCGTGTGCGCGTCTCAGACCTGTGAAGTATTTGCTGTAGTCTTGTTCGATCCTCTGCGCAGACTCAAACTGCTCTTTGGAATGTTTTTGTGACACTTTGTCTCGCAGATACACGGGGTCTTTCTGCTCCCTGAGTGAATTAAACACAGACTCAGTACAGACACAGCTACTGCTAATTAACTGCACAGCTAAATGTTCATTTCTGGCCTCATTTGCAGTAATCAAATTCACTGATTCACTGACTCAGAGTGGCTCTAGCGGAGCGAGTCATTAGACTGATTCAAATCGAGTCTTTCTGACTGATTCATAATAAAGAATAATTCTACAAAACCTCAGACATTGCTTTGCATGCAATCTAAAGATGCAATGATGAGAGAAAGCGAAAGACAAAATAATCAGAGAAAAAAAACAATATGAGGCATACAGTAAATGAGCACTTGTTTATGCAAACATCCAAAGGCAGACGTCACTCACTTAATCTGCTTAGCGTTTCTGTATCGTATGAATATGATGATGGGGTAAATGTTGACGACGTGCAGGCGCTCGATAGCATGAGGTGCAATGTCCAGCAGACAATGACAGTCCTGAGAAAGAGAGCGACAGCATGACCTCAGCACAGCTGAAGAATGAGACGACTTCTGGAGTATTATACAAATAAATGTGAATCTCATGAAAATGTCAAAATTTCATCCCAAAATAAAAAAAAAACATATTATGTATTATTATTTGGTTATAATAATAATAATAATAATAAATTTTTATAATAATAGATACATTATTAATTACATTAATAATATTATTATAAAATTATTGTATGTTTTACATAAGATAATGAAAATTATTTTAGAACGATTAAAGACTTTTCAGCATTGAAACATTATTTTAAGGACAATTTCCTGACAAATGTCCTCTTTTGTTAGTTGTTTTACGTAAAAAGTATCTGATAAATGAATAATATGCTTTCCAGATGCATATAAATCTCATAAAATCATGTACAGGTTACTTTTCACCACAAAACAAAAATAACAGAAAATAAATACACACATATATATATATATATATTAGGGCTGTGCAATATATCGAAATTATCAAAATATCGCAAATGTACATATCGCAATATGCATATCGCTACAGCTTGCAATATTTGGGGCCATGAACAAAAGACAAAGAGAAAATCACTCGCTGCTCTTACCTAAATAACTTCTGTAGTTTAAATAAGAATCAGTGCATATTTAATTCAGAGAGTAAATACTAAGCAGTGTTTTATTTTTCCTTTTTATTATTCAGTTCCTAAACTCATGTTAAAATGACATTTTTATGTAATGCTCGAGTAAAATACATATCGTTCACTTTCAGAAGTTGTAGGGGTGCTTTCTTAATATATAAAAAATAGTAAATAAAGTTATAATAATATTTATTTACTTATGTTCTACATAAAGAGGAACCACTACAATTCTTGGCCATTGATACATTATTTTCATGACAATTTCATGCTAAATTTCGTCATTTGTTAGTTGCTTTGCATAAAAAGTGTCTGACAAATGAATAAATGTATGTAAATGACAATAAGCCACTTTCAACCCAGATTTCTCCATCTTAACGTGTCCTGCTGTTTTCATTTTGGGTGTTTTGTGATTCTCATCATGCTAATTTTCAAATGGTTCTAAAATTTTAGATTTTTGTTGTCTTTAAGCAAAACGTAACACGTATTCATGACATCGGTTCAGATATCTGTAAATGTATTCTCTTCAAACTGAAAATAATTCAGTCAAGTGTTTGGGACAGCAAGAGTCTGACGTGGCTCGCACCTTCTCTGTGATTTCTTTAATGGATGCCACCGTCGTCACATCGAAGTGGCCGCTCCGGCGCTTGTAATCGATGAAGAGACAGTCTTTGACGCCTCGCTCGATGGCCTGCTGAGCCGCCTTCATCCCCTCTGAACAACACGAAGAGTGAGTGAGAAATAATTCAACATCATCTTTTTATTATCCTGCAGTCGTAACAAGCCAAAACTGAAAACCCATCATCGTACAGCTGTTCTGAATGCTTTAAACTCCATTAAATGTCAGTAGGTCTCACCAGCTAAACAGCGGCAGTATTTCCCAGGAGCCTCTCTGAGCAGCATGTCTTTGATTGGCTCGATGAGGGGCCCCAGTATCAGCACCGGCCTGCGATTGGTCGATTCCACTTTCTGCACGCGCTGATACGCCGGGCTCAGACAGTCTGAACAAACACAGAGGATATGAGGCACGCTGAGGGCGAACGTGACGGTTTACTCTCTACACGCGTGTCGTTTCTCACCGTCCATGAAGGGCATGGAGTCTGTGCTGACGGCGTCTGCCGCCGGAGCGTCACGGCCGTCTTTGGAGCTGCTGCGTTTGTGTTTGAGTTTACGGCGGAAGAAGGATCGGCGCGCTGCGGCTGAGAGCGTTTTACCGGAACCGCTGTCGTCCATGACGCTGTACCGCCGCTGGGATTCTTGATCTATCCTGCACACACACAAACTAACTTGCTTAGTTGGGGACACTTCATTTCCGGCGATATCGATGACATAATTGCAAAGATATTATTTAAACTGAGCTGGATGTTGACATCACTGAATTCAATGATGAACTGTCTTTAACTGAAAAATGAGTGTTTACTATTGTCATTTTGCATTATTGACACTATTTTCCTAATTAATGCTGTTCAGTTGCTTTGTCACAATCTGTATTGTTAAAAGCGCTATATAAATAAAGGTGACTTGACTTGACACAAACAACATACTCTTAAGATACATGCATGTCATCGTTACTAGTACTATTACGGTTTTCTACTATTGTTATGTCTGTTGTACTTTTGTTGTACTGTTCCTTTGTTTATATACTTCCACCCCTCACTCACTCACACACTCACACACTCACTCACACACACACACACACACACACCATGTATGTTTTGTTGACCTGGGTTATTTTGTATTTGATTTGTCACCGGTAAATTGTATATCTGTTTGCATAATAACAATTTTTAAAAAAAAAGATACATGCATGCTATTAGTGCTGTCACGATACTGCAATTTCTAACCTAGATACGATACCTTGAAAACTACTGATAGTCAATACCATTTTCGATTCCATGGGAATTGAAAAAATAAATAAATAACACACATACATATATATATATATATATATATATATATATATATCATACATCAATATATCAATTGGTTATTATATTATGATCATTATTATTACACACAAAATATATTTTGTGTGTAATAATAATGATCATAATAATTATAATCTGCAATTATAATATATATATATATATTACAAAAAACTAACAAAAATAAATAATCATTATTATTATTTTATTTTATTTTATGGAAAACTACAGAGAGACTTGTTAACATACAAATTATTAGAAAATGTTTTATTATAAATACTATATTATCATAAAAATCTGTGACAGTAATTTCTTAATTTTTGTCAGGAGGTATGCAAAAATATTAAACAAAATAAACAAAAAATATGGCTATGGTAATAATACCATTTCATACAAAAAAAGAGCATTTAAGTATAAATATAATTAGAATATTTATTATTATTATTTTACAGAAAATTTGTATTTTACGGAAAACTACGGAGGACGCCTAAAACTATAAATCATTAGAAAAGGTTTTATTATATTATTATGAAAAAAATCTGTGACAGCAACTTCTTAATTTTTGTCAGGAGGTATGCAAAATCAGTCCATGCCTTTAATATGAAATATGAGCCTCTTATGAATCCACTAAGAAAAAAAAAACTCCTGTACACTGGAGAAAAAACTGAAGGATTTTCATCTGTTTACTTCACATTTCTATAGAGAGAAGTATTATGTTTCCTATTTTTACCCAAAATAGGGTGGTGTGAGCATTATTGAGCGCTATAAACACATGTATGTTTCATTTCAGATATTTCAGTATTGATATGTATCAAAAAATTGATAGTTTTGTCGACACTACATGCTATTATATCATGTGCATCGCATTTTAAACAGCCTGACAAGGAACACATTCTTTCTGTTTACTTATGAAACAAAAGCAGTGATGATTACATATAGACAGACGTACATGCACTTGCTGGGCACGTGTCCGCGCACCAGCTTCCGTGCGTTCTCGTCCAGTTGCCATGCCAACCAGTAGCCCAGATTCCCCCCCGGCATCGTGTCGTCCACGTAGAGAATATCATCCTTCTTGAAACTCAACTCCTGCTCCAAATCACCAACATGGTCAAACAGCGCCCTGAAAGACAAACCGATCAAGAGTAAGAATATGAAAAGCATCACGCAGTCAGAAGAGCAGGGCCATAATAACATATCAGTAATATCTCTTAATATTTACCTATTTGCTCTGTTTCAACCAAACAGTTATTGTGGTCAGTAAAGATTTATATGTGGCAGGGTTATTATTGTTAACGAAAACTAACACTAAATCCTTAAAAAAAAAAAATTTTTTAATTATTAATTAAAAAATAAACATTAACGGACTTATTAACATTTAGATAGATTTTTCATTTTTCAAATAAACTAAAAAAACGTAATCATTAAAAAAAAATAACTATAAAAATAATAT